TATATTTTTATTGATTTCAGAGAGGAAGAGAAACATCAATGATGAGGGGGAATCAGTGACTGGCTGCTTCCTGCACGCCCCCTACTGGGGACCGAACCCACAACCTTGGGCATGTTCCTTGACCGGAATCGAACCTGGGAGCCTTCAGTCCACAGGCCGATGTTCTATCCAGTGAGCCAAACTGGCTAGGGCTCGAGAGATATTTTATTTACATACAATATATTCATACATATTCTTTCACCTATACTACACAAATGGTAGCATAATATACCACTCTACATGCTATTTTGCACTTTCCTTTTTTCACCTGTCAATACATCTTAGAGATACTTAATCTCAGTCTTTATAATAATTTATTCATTTTACACTGCTAGCATTCCATTATGAATATTTGCTTCTCTTCTTTTTCAGATTTCCCTGGCTATACTTGCTTATTTCTCAATATGAACTTTAGATTAGTAGTATATAAATTAGAATTACCTTCTCCAGTGCCTTTTCTTTCCTCTGACCACAGGGTGAAGACATCTGCTTTTTTGGTTGTTTAGTGAACTTCTTTGGCTTCTCCTTTTTCCCTGACAACAGAAAATTAATGTTAGGAGTATAAGTCCCATATATTTCTCCAAAGCACTTGTTACTTCCAAACAATAAAACCCTTGTGTTCACAAGGGTTTACACTAATGTTCACAACAGCATTATTCAAGAGTCAAAAACTGGAAACAACCTAAATATTCATGAAATGGTGACTGGATAAACAAATTATGGTATATTCACACAATAGACTACTACTCTGCAATAAAAAGGAACAAACTACTAATATATGCAATATGGGCGAGTCTCAAAAACATCATAGTAAGTGAAAGAAGCCAGACATAAAAGGCTACTCAGAATTTCACTTACTAGTATCCGAGATGTTAGAAAAGGTAAAACATCGTGACAAAAAGCATAGTACCGTGGTTACCTGGGGTTGGGAGTGGGGCAAGGTGACTGAGTGCAAAGGGGCAGGAGGTAACTTCTTGGAGTAATGTTCTAGGTCTTGATTTTGGTGGTGGTTTATACAACCATATGCCAAAACTCATCAATGTGTACACATTTTAAATCTTATTACATGTAAATTATACCTTAATCAACTGTGAAAAAAACATACAACATAGTAGCATTTTCTCCTTGACTAATTAGAATTAAAAAATAATTGATAAAGGACTACATTTAAAGAAAAATTATATAAAACTTGGAAATAAGACAAAGAGTGGATTGCAAGTTCTTTCAGTGCCTACTGGAGGACTGTTACACAGACCCACAAGGACTGTTTAATTCTCTAAGAGAATGTCCTTGTGTTTGACTTTCCCATCTACTATTGACTAAGGGCTCAGATTCTATGAAGTTTCATGTTAACTTGCAGATTTTTGTGTTTAATAGAAATGCAAATGATTTCTATCTTGTAGAAAAGATAACCCCAAAGGTCATAGGTCTATTGCATTGTAGGAAAATCTGAATCTTGAAATGCTCTTTGAACTACTTTCTCTGCTATTTCTCTCACCAGTGATTTGAAAATCTTTGACAGAAGTTCATTCTCTAGTTGTATAAAATCATGTTTTTAATTTTAAAGTCACATTTTGATAACTGTTAGTCAATGTTTCATTTGAGTGTCACTTCAAATCATCTCAGGTACAATGATGTGAGTCATACATTTTGAGAAACCCATTAAAGGTTACACCTGAAATAAAAACTTGGAGGATTCTAAGAACACTGCACTTTCTTTACAATTTTATGAGTATTCTGTGTTAGTGCCAAGGTTAGGAAATCTTGATGGAGCTTCCTTTATTTTCTTTCATATTATAAACCAATATGTAGATTTAGAAAGCCAAGTCCTCATCCATTGCATTAAAGCCTTCAGAATACAACCCCTTCATAAAAGTAAGGCTTGGTTTTAAATTTAGAAACCAATGTACTTCTCCAAAGAGGACATACAGATGGCCAAGAGACATATGAAAAAATGCTCCAAGTCACTAATCATCAGATAGATGCGAATTAAAACAACAATGATATATTACTCCACACCTGTCAGAATGGCAAACAGGTAAAAAAGAAAACTACAATTGCTGGCAAGGATGTGGAGAAAAGGGAACCCTAGCCCGACTGGCATGGCTCAGTGGTTGAGCATTGATTTATGAGCCAGGAGGTCACGGTTCAATTCCTGGTCAGAGCACATGCCCAGGTTGTGGGCTTGATCCCCAGTGGGGGGCGTGCAGGAAGCAGCCCATCAATGGTTCTCTCTCATTGATATTTCTATCACTCTCTCCCTCTCCCTTCCTCTCTGAAATCAATAAAAATACATTTTAAAAAAATTTTAAAAAGAAAAAGGGGGAACCCTAGTACACTCCTGGTGGGAATGCAGACTAGTGAAGCCACTATGGAAAACAGTATGGAGTTTCTTCAAAAAATAAAAATGGGACTGCCATTTGACCAGTGATCCCACTTTAGGAATAGATCCTATGAATCTGGAAACACCGATCAGAAAGAATATATGCACCCCTATGTTCATAGAAGCACTATTTATATTAGCTAAGATCTGGAAACAGCCCACGTGCCCATCAGCAGATGAGTGGATAAAAAAGATGTGGTACATTTACACAATGGAATACTATGAAGCTATAAAAAAAAAAAAAGGATCTTTTACCCTTTGAGAAAGCATGGAGCAACCTGGAGAGTATTAGGCTAAGTGAAATAAGCTAGTCAGAGAAAGACAAGTATCATATGATCTCACTCATATATGGAATCTAATGAATAAAATAAACTGATGAACAATAGAGAGAAAAAAATGAAAAATAAAAAATACACTGATGAATAAAATAGAATCAGAGACACAGAAGTATGGAATAGACTAATGAATCTCAGAGGGCAGTGGGGGGAGGCAGAATAGATTAACCAAAGAACTTATATGCAAAGACAATAGTGCGGTGAAGGCCTGAGGAAGTTGAGGGGTGGTGAGGGGTGGAAAGGGGTTACTGGGGGGAACAAAAGAGAACATCTGTAATACTTTCAAAAACAAAAATAAATGTTTTTTAAAAGTAAGGCTTGATTTTTAATTTAGAAATCAATGTACTTTGTTTCTTGGATACTTCTTCTTCATCTCCAACTTCATCTTCAGTGACCTCAGATCCGGTGGTATATTCTTCCTCTTCTGAAAATAATGACTGTTGTTTCTGTATTAAAGAAACAATATACATCCTATTAAAAATGTAGTATTTATCACATCCCTAATGAATTTTTTCAAACACATTTATCTAAATTTATTTTCAATGAATGAGCCAAGCAAGAGCTGATAAAATGACCACTGCCTAGCACAACATTGAGGATTGCTTTACATCAAATATTTTTTTAATTTCCTTCACAGATTCTAGCAGTGATGGGCACCTCACAGGTACTCAGTATTTGCTGAAATCGTACCTCATCACTTAACTGAATGTATGTTCCTTGATATTAAGAATAAATTAAAATATAGCCCCGGCTGGTTTGGCTCAGTGGATAGAGCGCTGGCCTGCGGGCTGAAGGGTCCTGGTTCAATTCCGGTCAAGGGCACATGCCTGGGATGTGGGCTGGATCCCTAGTGGTGGGTGCAGGAGGCAGCCGACCAATGATTCTCATCATTGATGTTTCAATCTATCTCTCCCTCTCTGAAATCAATAAAAATATATTGAAAAATAAATTAAAATATAATAATTGCCAATATTAAAGTAGTCTCATAAACAAGCACATGTACACATTCTCTGGGTCAGCGGGGTCCTAGATTACTTAAAAGTATCCGTATCTGTTTCCTGTAGCTATCCACCCTACTGTCTGTCATCACTGATCCAATTCTGACTCCATTTTTGTGAATACTGATGGCAGATTTGCATAGTAATGGCAAACAGGTAAAAAAGAAAAAAATCAATTAACCAACTAATCAAATGACCAAATAATTAGAAAGTTCCAATTACAGATTTGTTACTTTGTTCAGTGTTCTAAATGTGACATAAAAATAATTTTTAATAAGTCATTTAATAGACTTATAAATTATACAGCCAGATAATAGAATATGTGTCTGTTTTAAACAATAACATTTTTAGTAAAGTACAAAATTATAGACACTGAAAAAGATGATAAACGTTTAACTAAAATCTATAAAATAAGTTGATAACATTATATTAAACTAAACTGTAGCAAGAAAGAGATCTATGGAAGTGGAATATAGTTGTTTACTTACCAGTTGCAGAGTCCAGTTTTTCAGTAATAAAAACTATAAAAAAGACAAAAGAATAAAAGATTAATAAATCTGCATATACCCATGTTGCAGCTCCTTATTTTCATATGGATATTGTAGAAGAATTTTAAAAAGTTACAACTATAGTTCCCTTTCAGGTTGAAATATAATTTTAAATTCAGGCTGAAAATGATAGATTATTATCTTTTATAACCCCTGTGTAGAGATGTATATGTTTACAAAAACAAAAACCCAAAAGACATTTCCTAGTGTAATTTCCAAAAGACAAGTAAATCACATGTAGACATAATATTAGTTTTTTTAACTATTTCAATCACTTTTTTTAATGTTTATATTTTTATAAATTAAAGAACTAGATTACATATGAATATTCAAGAAATCTAATTTGCTACTTTGTATACAGTTCAGAAATAAATGTTAATGATTGAACACTTATAGCCAGCTGGAGCTTATAACCTCTTTCACAGGGAGTATTTCACTTTCTCAAGTGAAGCTACCTCAACCGACATGAAGGCAGGAAGCTCACCAGCAAACAGAGACTTCCTGGCTGTTAGCAACAGGAATCAAAGCTTTCTGGTCATATTTCAGTTTTGAAATTTTGGAAAAACTAAATGCACTCCTGATTACAATTAAAAAAAAAAAAAAGAAGCATTTCTTACCAAAAAGTTTATAGGACTACTAGGAGAGGACAAAATATACCATTCATACTATCTTCATTTATCAAATCATTATTTACCCATAATAAAAACCCTGAAGGCCATGTTATATTTTTCCCCAAAATTAAAGTCGATTAGTTATTAATTCTTTGAGGACAACGAATGTGCCCTATTATCCTTATAATCCTTTTAACTCAGCATAATACCGTGGTATGATCAGGTAGTCAGTAAATACTTATAACTAAAAATTTCAACTTCAATTTAAACTGATCAGGTTTCTGTCAAAGATAAATGTCATCAATTGTTTATATAAATAAAGAATAAGTGAAACAAGCTACTCACAGCATTGAGCTCCCCACTTTTGGGGCCCCATGGTGTATTTGGCTCCAGTAAAATATCACAGTCCAGACCCTTCTCATCATAGGGACCAACCCCAGAATCACTAGGAAGAAAAAGACATTTAATGGAGAAGTGTTCAATTTTTAAAAAATTTAAATGCAAATGATATCTGTTTATTGCAAGTGTTTATAAATTGCTCTTTAGAAGTATAGTTCTTTAATATAAGGTATGCCACTTCAACTTTTACATTTCTTTATTCACCTAGAGATTCCCCTACAGAAATCACTCCATACAGAAATCACACCATTGCTCTCCAGGCATCATACTTGCCAGGTGGTGAAATGGGCTCCTATAATGGGTACTGGCCTGAGAACAGCCTTTATTTAAGGGTCCTCCTACCCTCAACCTGACAGCCTGCTGTAGTTGTAAGATGATGGAAGTAACTTCAGAAATTACTGACTTCAAGGAGCTCAAATTTATGCAAAGATAACCTCAACCATCAACTATTTTTCCAGTTGTGTCAATCAAGCATTGAGGATGAGCTTAAGTAACTTGGGAAAAGAAAAAAAAAAAAACCCTCAAAAATTGGATCCTAACCTTTCAATCACCAAGGACTCCTTTTACTAGTTTTTCCACCTCTGGACCGCCAATATTCTGAAGTGCTTTTCCTATCAAATAAACACCTGCTTGCTCTTATTGTAAGCTAACATATAATTCCAGTTAAGCTTTCAGAAATACTGTAAACTATTTGAGGACTGATATTAGTGATTGGGGAAGCATAGGTGGATAAAGGATTCTGAGATGGACTCCCTGAATAAATATGCAGTATAGCATCCCTCTCCCACCCCACCCCACCCCAACCCCTACCTCACCTAACTGTATCTTTAGAAAAAGGCACAACAATGACATCTTTGTGTTTGTGCAGATCCTCCAGTATTCTAGCAGTTGGATAGGACAGCGAACTTCCACCTTCACCTTGATCATGAAGAGCAACTATGTGGTCCCTCACTTTACAACCCTGTTGTACAAGAGACATGAAATTGGAAAGGCTGGTTCATTATAGACACATTCCTTTAAAGATGACTGTATGTTTTTGGTGTTGTTAATTCTCACCTGAGGATATTTTTTCCATTGCTTTTCAGAGAGAGTGAAAGGAAGGGAGGGAGGGGAAGGAAAGGAGGGAGGGAGATAGAGATAGAGATAGAGATAGAGATAGAGAGAGAGATGTCTCTCTCACATCCACTGGTGGTCTCCTGCATGCACCCTAAACCGGGGTCTGGGAGAGAACCATTGACCAGGAATTGAACCCAGGATCCTTCAGTTAGAGGGCTGATACTCTAACCACTTACCCACACTGGCCAAGGCATACATTTTTGTTCTTCTTTGTCTGGTCATATCAACCATTTTAGCATTTCTCAAGAAAAGAGCATGAGACATAAATGTACATCTAAAGAATATCCAAGAGCATTCATGTAACCACCACCCACATTAAGAAATAGAGTATCTGCAACACTCCAGGAGTCCCCATGGGCCCATTCTCCAAGGGTCCATACCTGCCTCTTTTCTCCCAAAAGATAACCTCTATCCCTCCTTTTATAAGTACTTACTTCTTGGTATTTTTTTTTGAATTTTTTGTGAGCTTATTTGAGCCAAACTTACTTCTTGTTTTCATCCATTACCACGTAAGGATGGATCCCTAAATACTATCATTTAATTTTATCTCAGTTGTTTGGTTCAACATTATGTTTTTATGATTCAATCATGTTATTGCATGTAACTAACATTTACTTTAATGTACAGTATTCCTTTATATGAATATACACACATTTATTTATTCTACAGTTGATAGATGGGTTGTTTCCAGTTTGGAGCTATTACAAATAATACTATTACGAACATTCTTTTACATGTTTCCTGGCACGTAAGTGCTAATACGTACTAAAATCTATTACTCTCAGCAGTGTATGAGAATTCTTATTACTCTATATCCTCACTAACAATTGGTGAGACATTTTTAGTCATTCTAATGAGTATGCAGTGGTATCTCTATTGTGATTTTTATTTGCCTTTCCCCAATTACTATTTTTTAAAATATATTTTTTATTGATTTCAGAGAGGAAGGGAGAGGGAGAGATAGAAACATCAATGACGAGAGAGAATTATTGATATGCTGCCTCCTGCATGCTCCTCACTGGGGACCAAGCCCACAACCCAGGCATATGCCCTTGACCGGAATCGAACCTGGGACCCTTTGGTCTGTAGGCCGACACTCTCTCCACTAAGCCAAACCGGCTAGGGCCCCAATTACTATTGAGGTTGAGTTCCTCTCATGTTTACTAGACAACAAAAAAGAACTTGGTTGTATGAGTTTCTGTTGTCTTTTTCTTATGAATTTGTAAGAGTAATGAAAAAAATCTTAATATGAACCTTTAATGGAGATGTGTTGCTAAATTCTGCTCCCACCTGTGAGTTTGTCTACTACTTTCAGTTTATTTAATGTAGTTGATGTACCAGAATTTAAAATCTCTTCCTTCATGGCATTACCTTTTAATAGCTTTATTAGTTTCCCTTCCACATATAGGTCTTTTTTTAATAGTTTAGGCTAGAATCTAATTTTATTTTTCCCCCATATGGATATCTCAATGTCACAGCACCTCTTATTGGAAAGTCTATCCTTTGCCCACTGTTCTGTAATGACACCTGTGTCAGTCAAGTATTCAGTGGCTCTCAGTACTTTATTCTTTTCTATTGGTCCATTAGTCTATTCTTCATCAGGATCACCCTGTCTTTTTAAAAATATATATATACTAGTAGCCCAGTGCATGAAATTCATGCACATTAAAAGGGAATTAATTACCCTAACCGATTTGGCTCAGTGGATAGAGCATTGGCATGCGGACTCAAGGGTCCCAGGTTCGATTCTGGTCAAGGGCATGTACCTTGGTTGCCGGCACATCCCCCGTGGGGAGTGTGCAGGAGGCAGCTGATCAATGTTTCTCTCTCATCAATGTTTCTAACTCTCTATCCCTCTCCCTTCCTCTCTGTAAAAAATCAATAAAATATAT